TATTTTCTCTTGCCTACCAAGTGGGGTAAAATCCCTCCTATCAGGTATCCCCCATTTCACCTTGTCAGTCCTCACAGTTGTAGTTGTTGCATATGCCCTTCATCACCTGGTAATCCCTTGCATCTCTTAGTTTTTTAATTCTACTGTTGAAACCTTGACAGAAAAAGCAGTGGCTTAAACAAGTGCAAACCTTCCATCTAAAATGTCACTCTAGTCCAGCAGGAAGCAGCATGATGACCACATCACCCCTGCTAACACTGCTGAGGAAGGATGAAATTGACAGTGGGGAATGTGCAACAGAGGAAAAGGTGGGAAAAGGGGCAATGGAATGTTTTATACGCTGTCTCTCTGAAACCTCCACACTTTCTGGGAATTAATACTTGCATTCCATCCCTAGTCCAGCGATAAAAGGGGCAGAAAAATGTTCTTTGCTGTGTGTTCTTTGTTATCTCTAAACAGGATTGTACATACAAGGACAAGGACCACAAGTTCATAGTCACTGGAGATAAGGTCACATCCCCCTAGAACCAAGACCCAAAACCTAAAACACAAATTATAGTGAAGCAACAATAGCCCGAAGGGACACTGGTCAAGCAGGCCCACGTTCCACTGCGGAAACCTCCCTTTTAAAAATTCCTGTGTTTCTGCTTTAAAGGGAGGATTTGAAACACTAGTTCACTACCACTTGTCCTCGTTTTTCATCCTCATTCCTTAGGCCTCAGCGATTAGTCCTGAACTTCCTGTTGTGTTTGGAAAGGAAGCATTTTCTGTTTCTGTTTTCCCAGAGCCCAGCTCTAAGGAGACTGTAATGTTGACAATAGTCACGTGGGGGTAGTGTGGACCTGGCCAGAGCTGAGTTGGGTAGGAAAGCAGATACTGGGCCTGAGTGACGGGGAGAGAGATGTCACTCTCTGAGACATAATGATAGACGGAATCACAGGCCCTTCCTTGCCTTGTGCGCACACAGAGTGTCTGTGGCAGCCTCGCTGGCTGGGCTGCTCATGGGAAAGGTACATGAGCTGGTGTCAGTGGGCCGTGGGAGTCTGTGCTAGGGTACAGGGGATAGGTGCCCTTGTCCTGTTGTGCATACAACAGGGGCTAAAACTGAAGGACTGTGGGTGATGATGTAGACTATGGGTACAGACCAGGATGTGGCCCTGGCCAGCCGCCATTCTCCTCCTGCTGCACAAGGACTATGGGTTTCCTTGGGGGTGTTTCTCATGATGGTCCCTGGACCTTCAGAAGCTGCCCAGAAGGACCTGCTGTGCTCCCCTTCCCTTCCCAGCTCCCCACAAGCCCTCACCCTTTAACCTCTTCCTCCTCTGCCATGACAGCTCCTCGAATTCATCCTGTTTTCCAAGGATTCACTCCCTTCCAACTGAAATAATCACATTTGCACCCCCAACAATGCCTCTGTCCTCCTCCAAACCCGCAGCCTCAGGTGTCCAAAGCCTCCACCACCTTAGATCTGCCAAGCAGTGGACCAGCAGAGGGAGATCAAGCTTGGGCTCAGTCTCACTCCAGGCCCTAAAAGCTGAAATATTGCCACCAATGCCCGCTGAGTCTGGGGGATAATTACATCATGATTATGCAATTGCAGGGAAATATGACCCAAGCATCTGCCCATCTGGAGCACAGGTAGGACAGAGTCTGAGGAGAGAGACATACACCCATATGCTTCAAATTTATAGGGTATGAGAGGCTCCCACAAATTGTATCCCTGTTTCATACCTGAGTTCCAAACCAACTGAGAGGTGAGCAGAAAGGGGAGATAGATGGGGATCAAAATAGCAGTTTTATTCTGACAAAAGCTGCAGTGGGGAGTATGGCTTGGATGTGTGGCAATAAAGGCATCTCTAAAACTAAAGCCTAGAATTGGGCTGATCCACATGGCCTCAGGCTGCTCCAATCACCCACTCCTCACCCCACCGAAATGCAGGTCCCTGTCCCTGTGCTCCTGAGCTAGGAGGAGCCAGCAGAGCCCTGGTCCCTGCAGACAGGATGACTCCAGGGAGACTCAACAAGAGGCAGACAGTCCCATTTCCCAAGGCCCCCAGTCAGAGAAGTCTCCCCCATGAGAATGCGGGAATGGGGAATGGGAGGATATGGCGTGTGGCCCTGATTGGTGTGCGGCTCCTAGAAGGAGACACTGCAGCAGGACTGAGTGCTCCCCTGAAGGTCTCAGGCTCCTGCTCTTCACTCCCCATTTCTACCCCTGGCGGGTAGCCAGGTTCTCCATCCTCATGTCTCACTGGGCACCTTTGCTGTGTCTGCAGCTGTCTCCTGCCCTTGAACCCTCTTGTCCAGGATGCCGACTACCTTAGTCATCTCTGTGCTGCACCTATGGTCCCCACAGGGTTCCTCCCTGCTTGGGGATCACTCCCACTTCTGAAGTCTGAACCAAACCTGCTCTTGCTCAAGCTTATGAAGCCCCTCACCTCACCAGGTCCCCTGTCGTGTCCTTCCTCAATGACTGCTCTCCTGCTCTCGAGTTTTCCAGACTCCAGTAACATGAGCTACTTCTGTGACAGCAGAGAGGTTCCCTGTTGTCACTGCTCCTTACAGCCATAGAAAATGCCCCAGGAGGTGCGTTATTTCCTTCCCCTCAGTCCTGCATGATTTTACAAGTTCACTCTGCTTCTTAATTGGATCCCATCCCTTTCCTAATCCCAGGGGCTCTGACATTGTTGTCTGTATCAGAAAACTGCTTTCTCCACAAAGACTTAGAGACTCTTCATAAACTGTCATTGCTTTTGCAGAGAGTGATGGATGCTCAGCTTTCTCTAGCACCATCCGCATAAATGATCCCTTTTCCACTGCTAGGGGCAGCACCAGCATGGGAGTGTCCACCTGAGAAGGTCACTGTGTGTATTGCCCCGCCTAGATCACTGCCCATCGTCCTGGAATTGCAGGTGCTGACCTTAGCAGACCCTGAGCAGACCTGGGGAAAAGCTGGCACATTTATGTCAGTGCTGGCTCAGCTGTGGCCTGGGCCTGCCTGCTGCCTAGGGACAGAGAGGAGAGAGAGAGAGGGGACGCCACAGAAGGCTGGTCCGGTCTGTGCCTGGCCTAGTTGGGGCCACCGTGCCTTGGGGAGGCTGGGAGCAGACGGCAGCTGTGCCCAACAGAGGCTCAGCTCACCAGCTCCTCTGCCCACAGTCAGGTATTTGAGGGACAGAGACACAGTAATTTCTCTGTCTTATATGAAGTAGAACCTCAACATGTTCGGTTTGTTAGTTCTAATGTTTTGGAGCTGCATGCTATGGGACTTTCTTCCCCTTTCTCGGGATGTTGTAGCATCTCGAGTTGCTCCACTGGAACGGTGATGTTTTCTACTTGACTCCGATCTAGAGGATGATGAATCTCTTACCTGGATCTCTCGTCTGCAGCCTCCTTCTACATACCTACACTTGACTCTAGCAACTATGTTGCAGAACTCTCAGTTATTGTCCCGCCACTTGGCTAATAACAAGAAAACTTTAGCTGAACATCGACTGGCTACAACTATTGTGTCCGATCAACTAAAAGACCTTTCCCATATCATAACTCAAGACTCTAACCATCATTGGTGGGACTTCTTATTTACTAGCACTACTGCTCACAAATACTGTTCTGCTATATACCCCTGTTTTGATTATTATTGTGATGCTTATTATTTTATGTCTTTGTAATTGCTAGATGTATTGCCATATGAGATAATTGTATCATGCTTTCATGTTCAGACAAGCCCATGTAAACTATGCATATTCCCCCAAGCAGCCCTAGGACCGAATTGTACTGAGGTACAGAATATTAAGGCCTGCTTGGGGTCATATAAATTTATAAGGCTTGAGGTATGCACCCATTTCCTGGAGAAGTTGGCCACTTCTTGAGGAAATGGGAATTGACAGCTCTGAGCTATGTGCCTGGGGATTGTTTATCTTGGGCTGTCCAGGGATGTTTACCCTAGGCTCATGCCCGGAACTGATATGTGAGACCAGTCACTACAGGCCCCAGTTCCTGGCCAGATCTGGGACCTCGGTGACCAGAGCATACGCCTTTTTGGCGCCAAAAGCCTTCCTTTGTTCAAACCACTATATAAGCAGTATAAGAAAGTCCCCGAGCAGCTTTTTCAGCCACCTCTCAGCTTCTTGTCTATCTAACATCTCCGTGTTGCCTGAGATGCTGCCCGTGAGAATTAGGTGTTGAGATTACCCGTGGTGATAAGCCTCCGGTGCTGATAATGGGATCCTAGTGGTATGATTACTCTTTTTTTTTTTTTTTTTACATTCCATACTGACTTTATTATTCCTACTCTTTACAATAATTGTTCTAGAAGGTTTTGATTTATTTTTTTTTTTAATTTTCTTTTCTTTTCTTTCTTTCTTTTTTTTGTGTGTGTTCTTTCCCTGTGGTACTTTTCTCTTGCTTTCTCTCTTTTTCTCTTCTCCCTTAATAAATGGAAGTAAAACTGGTGTGGCTTGTGGTGGTGTGTCCTGCGGATCGAGCTTAAATTAGAAAATAGTCTGTGCACAGCGATTGATAAAATTAATTATCAATACACCAGCCCTGTGTGCAAATGAGCAGACCTAACTCGGTCCAGTCCAGACTCTCCCACTAGCCCAGGAGAAGATTTGAAGTTTCTGGCTTTCCCTCCAACCTCCCGCCCACTACCCCAGCCATCTCAGCAAGGGGAAAGGAAACATGGAGTTTACCCCCACTCCCAGTAGCCTTGCCACTTTCTTGGAAGGCAGAAGCAGCTGAGGGCTATTTGGGTTCGAGTGGATGTTTTTCTGTCCTTTACACAAACACGTGGGCTCCTGGGAGCTGGCCCTGCTCATCCTGGGGTCCTCCTTCCCTGCTCCTCCAGGTCTTGCCCAGGGCCTCTTCCCATCCCTCTGCCACATTTCAGGAAGCTGAGAACCCTTTGGTGTCATGGAGGAGACACACAGTGTCCACGGCTCGCCATGAGCTTGGACCAATACTTTCACTTCTCATTTCCCCATTTGGGCGGAGCCGTCTCGGGGTAAGTCAGTCTGTCAGCTGACTTTCTGCCCAGAGTCCGGGCAGCCACAGGGCACACATACCAGGCAGACGGGAGGGATTGAATGCCGGGCTCTGAGGATAGCAGGTGGGCGCTGCGACCTGAGCGACAGGTGAGTCCTTATCTCCCTCCTCATCCCTGGCAATATTGCTGCTTTCATGCCGTTAGTGCAGTTCCTGTCTAAAGCTTCACTTGAGTTGAGTCTTGCTTTGCTAGGACACAGGTATGCAAAATAATGAAATAAAAGTGTATATAATGCGGAAATTGTGTTTTTAAACTGCAACAGGACAGCTGTTGGTGTGAGTCCAGCTTGAAATAACACATGTGGCTTCCTTGTTTGCAGCTGCTGCTCAGCTGGCCAGGACTCTCTGAACACAGGAGTCCTTTGAGGCAGGGATGTGTTATATCCCCATGAGCTCTTAGCCCTCTCGTGTCCCTCTGCCTTCTTCTACCTTCACATAGGTCATGTCAAAGAAAGTAGCTCAGAAAATAGAAGCTCTGGGATAAACACCTGGCTTACTTCAAACATCGGATTCCGTGGTCTCACCTGTCCTGGCACAGGGGGTCCTGCCACTCCTGGGCTGTTCCCATGACTGGCTTGGGGTCTGATTTTTTCCTCCATTGACCTTGGTCAGAAGAAGGAAAAGGACGAGAAAGGCCCAGGATGGCAAAAGTCAAGTGCAGGCTGAATATTTTTAGCTTCACTTTAATTTCGTGTTTCAGGATGCTGGATACCTCTGCAAAGAAAAGGGATAGAAATCCTAACTTTTCTCTAGTAATGGGTTCAGAAAGAACACTACCTCATTTTTTAATTTAAAAATTTCTCAACACAAAAGAAACACATTATACATGGTTGTTCATAAAGCTTCAAACAATGTAAAAGTACATAGACAGAAACACCCTCTTCACCACTCGCCCCCCATCCCCAGTAGCTTCCCTTTCTGGTCTCATTGAGAGTCTTGTGTTCAGCCTTCCTTATCTTTTTCTACACATTTACCTATATAACATGTGTTTCATAAACACAAAATTTGTGTTCCAGTCTTGTAATAAATGGGATCATGTTTCACATGCTTTTCTTCATTTTCACTTATCTTAATAGTGGAAATCTTAGACATCTTTTCACCTTAATACATGTAGACCTACCCCATTCTTTTTAATAGTGACATGCCATTCCATGGAATTGATATATCATAATTTTTTAACCCTTTCCCAATTGAAGGACATTCAGGTTGTTTTCAATTGTTCACTTTTACCACCAGGCTGTAATAACAATGATTATCTATTTCTTTTTGGGTTTTCTTTTGCATGTATACAAGTATTTAACTTGTGTCAAAACCTAAATAAGTGGAATTATGGAGGCAATGGGTGCTGATAGTTACTTCTTACAGATCCTGCCAAATTGCCTTTCTAAGTGGCTGAATCAATGTACCTTTCTTCCAATAGCAAATAAGACAGATGAGCCGTCTCCCAACATCCAGCCAAACTTTACAGAGCTGATGGATAAGGAGTTGCTCCTGATTTAATTTGTATTTTCCTGATTATGTGGAAGTTGAACAGTTTTTTATGTTTATTGGCCATTTAAATTCCCGCTTCTATGAAATGTTCATTTATTGTTGCAAGTGTTATTCAGTTGAGGTGTTTGTCCTTTCTTTCATGATATGAGAGAGTTATCTAAATATTCCAATAAGCATACATATACTTTTCTTGTCCTTTAACTGTATGGTGACTTTTATCTTACCAAGGCTTAAAAGTTGAGGTATCCATCTATCATGGTATTGATTTTATAAGAGAGATGCATGCTCATTGCTACAAATAAAGTCCTGGGGAAAGTTACTGACAAATTCCATGAGCATTGCCAGGATTAAGGTAGTCCTTGTGATCTTCAAGGTGGCAGATTTGATTCTACCTTTATTCAAGGAGAAATTTCCTCTGCGGTATCTCTGAAAACATTTTCTTTTTCAATTTTCAGGGCCAATTATTCTCTCTCTTTTTTTAATTTCAGAATATTACAGGGGTACAAATGTTTAGGTCACATATATTGCCTTTGCCCCACCTGAATCTTAGATTGGTGCAACTTAAACTTCGCATAGGTCTTGTCTGCCCCCCTAGTGCTTTGAACTATTCAGTTTTTTACTTTGTGTTCGTACTGGCTGTCTCTTCCTTTTCTCCATGGACATTATTTAAGTCTTTGTAAGTTTTGTTTCTTGTAATTTGTGATTTAAAAAAAATTGGATTGTGTTTCTTTTTCATGGGGATCTTTGTTTCTATAGCTCTGTAAGCCCCGCTTTAACTCATATTTCGTTAAATATTTTGGGGCATTAAGCACTGTGGAGATATTCTTATTGTCTTTAGATTGCATTCTGTGTTCCTTTGTTTCTTCCTGCGCCTGCCATGCGTGGCTTTACAGACCATCTTTCTATGCTTTGCCCCAAACTTCACACTTCCTCAGTCACAATCTGAGTGAACACTTTGTCACATTTCCTGCCTTGTCTGAGAACAAATTGTGTCCTATCTGCGCTACAGTTTGAGGGCTCTATTTTCATTCTTGCCAATTTTTCTGAGGACATGATTAATTGATTAAACCATCCTTTTCCCCACTGATTTGCAATGCTATCCTTTTCATTAACCAAGTTGCCATAGAGGCAGGTACTTTCTGTGTCTCTTCTCTGCCATTGGTCTGTGATTGCCTCTGCTTGTCCCAGAACTACAGTGTCACAAAGGTGACAGCATCCCAACAACTCCTGATACATGCTACAGCAAATATTCTCCTCCTCTCCTTCCAAAGTGTCTTGACCTCTGTGCTTCCAAATCAGCTTCTCAAAATCTTATTGTGATTTTGTATGAGATTGCATGGAGTCAGTGGATCCGTTTGAAGGAAATTGACATCTTAACAATATTATGTCTTCCATGTCATGAATATGGTATCTGTATACTGCTAATTTTAGAGTATTTTCTAATAAAATTTCTATTTTACTGTCTGATGGTTTTGTATTAATATTTCTAGATTTTTCCATTGATATTTGCTATTTTTATACTATTATAAACTACAGTAGTCCTCCTTTATCCACAATTTTGATTTCCATCGTTTCAATTACTAGTAGTCAACTGAGGTATGAAAATATTCAATGAAAAATTCCAGAAATAAACAATTTATAAGTTAGAAATTGCATGCCATTCTGAATAGTGTGGCGAAATCTCATGCAGTCCCTCTCAGTCCCACTTGGGGTGTGACCCATCCCTTTGTCCAGCACCTCTACACTCTAGATGCCACCCGCCTGCCTGTTAGTCACTTAGTAACTGTCTCAAGTATCAGAGCAACTGTTGTAGTATTGCAGTGCTTCTGCTCAAGGAGCCCTTATTTTACTTAATAATGGCCCCAACGTAGGACAGTGGTGATGCTGGCAACCAAGATATGCCACAGAGAAGCCATAAATTGCTTCTTTTAAGTGAAAACATTAAAGTTATATAATATAAGGAAAGAAAAGAAAATTGTATGCTGAAGTTTCCTAAGAGCTACAGTATAATGAGATATTTTAAGAGAGCGACCACACTCACGTAGTAGGCACTATTGTACTATATTCTCTCTTATGTATGAACATGTATAGGTGACCCCTGTTCTGATCCGTGGTTCTATTTTTTATTTGTTTCCTACTGAAATGTTTTAGTTACTGTGATTTTATAGGTAATGTTCTGTAACCTATCTTTCTGGGATTCTGTTGAAAGACACTGAATGAAAAAATAAATTTAGGAAGAATTTACATTTTAGACAACTCTGAATGATCCCAGCTACAAACATGTATATTTCTTCATTTATTCAAGTGTTCAAGTATTTGAAGTTTCTATAGTAATGTTTAATGGGTCCTGTGGTATTCTCATTGTATCGACTTAGTGCTAGGCATATAAAATTTAATTTGTGAGTGGAAGTTCATTTTTCTTTTACATTTCCTAATTATTTATTGCTGGTATAAGGGAAATCTATCAGTTTTTGTTTGTTGATCTTGCACATAGGAATTTTACTAAGTGGTCTTCTTCTTCCTAATATTGTCTTGTATTTTTCTGGAGAAATAACTACATATTCAAATATAGTAGGAGTTCTGTCTTTTCCTTTTCAAAATGTATACCTCTATATTTTTCTTTTTCTTGTTTATCTTTCTTTCTCCCTCTTTTGTGTGTGTGTGTGTGTGTGTGTGTGTGTGTGTGTGTGTGTGTGTTTGTCTTAGTGTATTAGACAGGACTGCCAGTTAAATACTGAATAGCAGTAAAAATGACCATTTTAATTTTGTTCCTGATTTTAGGGGAATGTTTATAACGTTTAAATTGAGGGTTTCTGATAGATGCCCTTTATCACTGTGATCCCCAACCCCCAGACCATGAACCAGTACTGCACAGGAGGAGGTGGGCGTCCTGTCAGATCAGCAGCAGCATTAGATTCTCACAGAAGCACAAACCCTACTGTAAACTGTGCATGTCAGGAATCTGGGTCTCGTACTCCTCGTGAGAATCTAATGCATGATGATCTGAGGCGGTGATGCTAGTGCTGGGGAGCGGCTACGAATAGAGATTACCATTAGCAGAGAGGTTTCACTGCACAGAGACCATAATAGACAAATTGCTTGTAGACTCATATCAAAATTCTATCAGTCAGTTTCAAGTGACAAGCTGCATCTGGTGGCAGGCTTTATAGTGGCCAGTGAGCATCTTACTTCAACTGTAAAGCTGTATTTGGTGGCAGGCTTTATAGTGGCAAATGAGTTGATGTACTTCAATTGTACAGCTGCATCTGGTGCAGGCCTTAAGTCAGAATCCGACACTTATTTCAGTCTGTACATGGTCTGCCCATTGTTTTATTTACCATTTCCATCCATGCCTCTTTCCTATACTGTGCACTTGTCTCAGTCACAGTTTTGGTAAGCCCACTAGGTAGCGCTAGCAAAAATAAGTAAAAAACAAATGTTGCTGGAGAGCTTCTTTGAAAGGGGGGAAAGACCCAATGATGAGACAGAAGATAAGGAAGGACTACCTACCAAAAAAAAAAAAGCAGCCTTTAAAAGAAAATATCAAGAGTCCTACTTAAATTACAGGCTCATTGCAACAGGTGATTCACATGACTGA